CCAAGACAAGGTAAGAGAGTCCTTCAAAATTCCTGTTTCACAGAAATGTCCATAAGATATTCTAGTCCTGTAAGCCAAAGATGAATGTCCCAATATTACAGAGAAACCTTGGGTGACTCTCCAGGCAGCCAGCTCTCTCTGTCATTTCTATAGCTTTGGAAATTGTTTGCTCTGCACTTCATGTTTACCCGGGTAATATTTTATCTTCCTTGTGTCTCTGATGGATATTGGAGTCTAGATAGTTATAAAATTTTCCTTGTTACCAAATTCAGAAAAAAAATTACATAAAAGATGCAAAGTTTATAGGTTGAAAAACATAAAAGCTTTGGTTCTTTATCTAAGATAATGTTTTAAGGCCTAAAACAATGTTTAGGTTAGTAATACAAGTTATGATAGAAAATGTTTTAGGTATAAAACTTTGGACTCACAAAGATAATAGATCAATTTCTCCAAATTTGACAAATACAAATAGACTGGGCATTGTGAATGTAATTCTTATTTGGTAATTATTCTTATTGTATATAATTTTATTTTATTAGAGTTCAAACTTTTTCTTTTTATTTAAACAATGGGGGGACTGTACAATGGGATATTTGTACACTGTGTGAAAATGTTGCTGTGATTGGTGGAGTCACCAGACAAACACAGAGGAAGCACCACGGGCAATATGTAGAGATGAGGTAATAACTCATTTGACATAATGTAGATTAAAATAAATGGGTTAACTTAAGTAATAAGAGCTAGTGGGACAAGCATAAGCTAAGGCCAAGCTTTCATAATTAATAATAAGTCTCCATATCATTATTTGTGAGCTGCTTGCCCAAAGAAATATGTCTACAGGTTTTACTTTCTGTAAATGGTAATAATTTGTCCAGCAGTATAGTCCTTTAATAATTGCCTCAGATTAATTAAAGACCATTCAGGAGCTTGATTCAAACTGAAAGTGGAAAGTTTGACCATTTCCAAATGTTGTGGTATACATCCTGACACAGAACAAAAGAAGTTCTTGCTATTTGCAGCCATCATCAACAGAACAAAAGCAAGGAGCCTGGATAATAGGGAGGAATGTGCTGTTCCCAAAGCTGTTTCATGCAGCAGAAAAGAGTCCTGACATTGAGTTTAGAGGGGAGAGAAAAAATGGAAACCTTTGCCCTCATATTCACAAATAGAGAAAGTACTTAAGAGAGGAAGCACATGTAAAAGCAATTGCCAGACACCTGCAGAAACAGAGTTCATAGGAAAGTGGAGGGCTAAGGGCCAAGGTGAGATGAAAGGGGATGAGAAAGAGAATATTCTGCACATTGGCATCTGAGTGTCCATTCTAAGGCAGACAAAGAAGAAAATGTAAAGTGGGAAGTACCCACAGGCATTGAGAAATAGCACAGATGATAAATGGTAGAGATGTTGTTCCTGTTACATTTTAGATCCATGCACACCTTGGAAATGAAAGGGAGATGTTATAAAAGGTAGAAAAGGGAAGAAAGAATGGAGAAGAAAGTTGTTAAAGTCAGGAGATTTTTTTTACTGAAAATTGTCAAACTCCCTTCTCCTTAGTCTTCATGTCCTAGTAAAAAGTTGCCTTGGCCCAGGAAGGAAGGCAGTTTACACTGGGATGCTTGTGGACAGCCTGGGGCTTTCATCCATAGGGAAAGGAGGTATGATAGGGAAAAGAAAAGCAAGATAGATTTCTCCCATTTGTGCAGAGCAGAGTGACATCTGAGAAGGTTTAGAGTAGACCTCTACTCATGGGAAAGGAGGACAATGTTACCTTACTCTTAAGGGATTTTTCTTTGGGTCACCAGCTCACAAAAAAAAACAAAAAACGATTTTTAATTATGAAAGATTGGCTTATAGCTTAGGCTTCTACCCCTCATTTATATTAATCTGCATTTTGCTCCATGGCTTTTTACATCTTTTCCATCTTGCACCTCCTGTTTCCTCTCTGCATCCTCTGACATCTCTTGAGCATCTAGATTCATCTCCTCTCCTTCTCTCTCTGCCCAGAAGTCCCACCCAACTTCTTCCTGCTTAGCTATTAGCCATTCAGCCCTTTATTAAACCAGTCAGAGGGCATCTTGGCAAAGACACATCTTCACAGTATAAAAAAAGATTATCCCACAACACCTTACCCCCAGATCTGAGTCCCATTACAGGAGTCTTTAGTTCTTACATTCTCACTGGGGTTGCAACACAATGCACATACAGCCTCAGCAAGCCAAGTTCATTGCAAATAAATAAAGTTTATTAGGTTAAATACCTTCTCTCAAAGATATGAGAGGAGTGTCTGAGGATAGGATCTCAGGTTGTGGTATCATATCTTTTTCTATGTCACCCAGTCACATAACCCATCCCTCATCCTTTTGATTGGTGGAAGGTTTGTCTCTCCCCATGTAGATTAACTGCAGGATTTCCCAATATCATCTGGCATGAGCTCAAGAGATCTCATGACCTGGTTTTGTAACGGCTTGTTGGCTCAGGTATTCTGTTGCCCCAGATCTAAGATTAGACAACAGAGCTTGTCCCCAACCACTTCCACTGCTCATATCTTACTTCAGTCTAACCTAGAGATCTGAAATGATAAAGATGTGCCCAGATGTTAAACCAAGGGTTATAAAATTAAATTGGAAATTTTTCCTCTTAAGCTTATTTTCCTTCTACTCCCATTCACTCTTGCTTGCCTTGTATGACTTCTATTGAAGGCATTTGAAGTTTTAATGGATAGCATGTGAGAAGCAAGCTTGCTGAAAGCAGAGCTACCAGGCTAGCTCATGGATGCTGTGCTGGAGGACCACATAGACTACAAAAGTCTACCCCTGCCAGAAGCCAGTCCCATTTTCTACCCTGCTTTAAAATAGGCCTACTTAGATGAAGCACTGCTCGGTAGGTACTGGCTACTCAAGTATGGCGTGTGTAACTTAAACTCATAAACAACTTAAAAGTAAAATAGCAAATGGTTTCAACTAGAAGCAAATAAATGAAAAAACAACCATAAGTCCTGAGCAAACTAGGCATAATATTGAGCCAAACTTTTTGCCGACTCTCCCCAGCCACCCTTATCTGTCAGTGTCTCATTTCCCTGGATCTTGCTTCTGGAACTAGAGTTTGTAATTACCATAACTACTTAATGGATTTTTAAAAGGAAGTTGGAGATCTGGCACAAGAAACACCTTCTTTCAGCTTTAAAAGTATTTAACGCCTGTTATTGAAAAGACCCTGCTGGTCTTATAGCAAGACGGAAAGATGAACTTACTTTAGTGGTATAAAGAATGACTTCTAAGCCAGGAAGTGGCATTGCACACCTTTAATCCTGACACATGGGGGCAGGCAGATCTCAGAGTTCGAGGTCAGCCTGATCTACAGAGTAAGTTCCAGGACAGCCAGGGCTACACAGAGAAACCCTGTCTCAAAAAAATGAAAAAACTGAAAAGAACGACTTTCTAAAATCATATGGCCCATAACAACTGCTTAATTCCAAGTCTGTTGAGGGCAAGTTGAATCATGATTTGGAGAAGGGGTTTTCCTCTCATTTTGATGTATTTAGGAGTTTTGTTGGGAGATACTTACTGCCTGTGCTTAAATGCCTACATGTATTAGTAAAACTACATTTCTTACAGTTCATTGTTTCATATTGTGACATCTAGTCATTAAAGTTCACTGACCATGTGGCACTGAGAGTACTGCAAACAGTTATGGACCCAAGGTGACCTTCAAGAGTGAGTCACCTCTTTCACATTGCTTACTGTGGAATGATAGCACAAAGTGCACACTGGTCCTGCCTAAGACATAACATCACCCATGGGGACTCTTACTCTGTCACCAAATAGAACAAAATCTTTTCTTGGCTTCTGTACTTTGTTTTCCTGGAAGAATGGGAGACAGTACAGACCTAAAGTGACCTAACGTGAATCAATAACCCCTAAGTGAGCCAACACAACACTCAACTCCTGCCCAGGCTAGGACCCAGAGACTGGAAGCAAATTAGAACTGTCTTCAACTACATCAGTGGTTCTCAACTTCCTAATGCTGTGACCCTTTAATACAGCTCCTCATGTCATGATGACCCCCAACCATAAAATTATTTTTGTGACTACTTCCTAACTGTAATTTTGATACTATTATGAATTGTAATGCAAATATCTGATATGCAACCCCTATGAAAAGGTTGTTCAACTCCCCCCACAAGGGTCCAGTGGCCCACAGGTTGGAAACTGCTGATATCATGGCTCATCAAAGTCCAGTATCATAACCCCAGGTCTTTATCTCTTTCCTCAATCTAAAGTGTGGCTTCTTTGGAAGAGGAGAAAGGGAATGAGTACACGTAAAGGCCACACCACTTTCCAAAGTCCTGATACACAAGGCCCCACCTAACAATACTATTACAGTGTAGACTATAACTATACTTTGAAAATGAACCACACTATTTAAGAATAGAGTAGAAAATCTAGGGTGCCTACTCCGAAATTTTACTCAAGAATGTGGAAGCCTTCTGGAAGAGGACAGGTACATCCTCTTCTCAGAAATCAACTTGAATGATCTGGTTGTCACATAAAGACTTTAACTTGAACAGCTTAGCATGGTGCACATTAAACTACAACCCACATCTTGAATGGATTAAGCAATACCTATATTCATGAAATATGATCAACTCTAGATGTTTTGATGATACTTGAGACTAAAAAGGGAACTAAATTATGTTTCACTCACAACATATAACCCTTCAAGATACGTATATAGGTTTATGAAGCAGCCCTGATAACCTTTAAGATTAAGTACATAGGGTCTCGGGTTCACCCTGTAGATTCCACCACCAGCAAAAACAGTGATTTTTCTATTTCAGTATAATTGTGAGAAGAAACCATTGATATAAAGATTTCCCCACTGAGTTTGAGATTTGGAGGAAGGGAAGACAAACCCGAAATTCCCAGTCAAAGATAACTCCATGTTGGTCTTGAACTCTTTGATATCTAGAGCCGTGCTCAGACAGGGTTCATCAAGACACTTCAGTATTCTTCCACCATGCTCATCATCACCTTCCTGCTGTATTCATAGGCCAAAAATAGAGCAGCATTGGAAGGGATGGCTCGAATCATAGTGGCTTTCATTCCAGAATACAAGGCTAATATTCCTTCATTTCTCACAATATATACAAAGGTTGAGATTAATCCTGCTGGCTGCCCAGACATAGAAAGAACCTGGATTCTAGAAAGAACCTGGATTCTGGCCTTGTTACAGTCCACTGGGAATATGATAAGCCAGAGGCAGATCCCAGCAAAGCCTCCACTTAACATCAAAGGGACAGGGCCTAGTTCATTCTTTGGTCTCCCTGATGCAAAAAACGATCGACTGAGTTCATAACCCCCAAAGAAGAAGAAATAGCCAGGTATTTCCTGGACGAGAGTGGTGGGGAGTCCACGATAGAAGCCTAAGAGACCCTCCTTCATGAAGATACTCTTAACCATAGACCAAACTGTGTTATGGCTTTGTGCTGTCTTCCCTGACATCTTCATTTCATGCGTGGTCTGCAGCCGGCACTTCACGAGCTCAGTGGGGCAGAGGGCCAGCGAAGCAAATGCGGAGGCCAGAGACCCAGCAGTGGCAGTCTTAAAATCCTTCAGCTCTGGGTTCTGGGCCACTCTGGCCACTTTCCTGACAAACTGTTGGCAGAAGCCATAGCACATGAATAGGACAGAGCTCTGGGCGACGTAGGCTAGCAGTGCAGGACTGGTTCCCCTGTATAAGCCCTGGAAGCCCACTTGGTTGTAGGTTTTTAGTAAGCAGTCGGTGAGGCCCTTGTACAGGTTGGGAAATGTCTGCATCTTCACTTTCATGGTGTCGAAGGGCTGCCCAGTCAGCACACACGCTGCGCCCCCAACGGCGCCCGCTGTGAGATCTATGGCGGCTTGGATGGCAGGGGGGACTTCATGTTCGTCCACCCCCTCCCGGGAGTCGTTGGAAGGCAAGTCTCGGTGGGCTATCACGGCCAGCTGCCGCGGGCCCTCTATCTCTGTTTCCCAGCCAAGGCCACGCAACCCAGAGCCTCGGGCCGCCACACTCCCCAGCCGCTTGGGAATAACCCCCCTCCACGCGCATCCACGAGTGCCCCCACTGTCCCCGTGAGCATTGGCAGAATGCTTTCAGAGTCACTTCTCCCATAAATACGTACAAGGAAACGCTTTACTGGAGCTGGGGGTGAGGTCAGTGGCAGAGGTGTGCCTAGTTCGGTGGACCATGGCTGTTAACATCCCCAGTACCACTGCAAGTTGAGAATGGAAGAATGCTTATCCCTTTAGGGGCCAGATTTCCTGGTTTCTTACCATGCAAAATGACACCAGGGAGTACTCTCAGCTAATCTAGTCTGGATTTAAAGGGCACAACCTACCGAAAAAGAGCTAAAATAGAGAACACAGGCCATGCGTGGGGGACCACATCTTTAACTCCAACATTCAGGAAGCAGAGGCAAGTTTTTTAAGTTGGAAGCCAGCCAAGGATACATAACAAAACTCTGCCTCAAAAATGAATAAATGAGAAGACAAACACTTGGAAACCGCTGCTTTTGAGTTGACAGCACAAAACAAAACACCTCTAGCCAGAGAGATGAGAATCTGAGTTGCACAGACAAACTACTTTGGAGGTAAAACCAAATCTGGTGTCAGACTGTGCTGAAAAGCTTTTCATTCAGCTTTCCTGAACTGTACTTAAAAGTGAAGCTTTAGCCAGGTTTAACAGCACACGCCTTTAATCCCAAGCAGAGACAGGCAATTCAGAGTTCAAGGCCAGCCTGGTGTAAAGAGCCAGTTCCATTCCAAAAGAGCCAGGGCTAGCTACATAGAGACCTTGTCTCAAAAACCGAAAAACAGTGAGGCATTAAAATTCAGATTTGCATGGTAAGAGGTGCAAGTGCAACACGGTAAGAGGTAGGCTTCTTTTTTTCTGGCAGATGATGACCTGGCCTTTTCTTTGGAAAAAGCCAGCTGTGGACACTGGGAATTCTTTTCTCTGAGATAACTTTTCTTTAGAGATAATCATCTAGGGCTTTTTAAAGATTTATGAATGCTTCCCTGCATGTATGTGCACCACAGCGTGCCTAGTGCCCATGGAAATCAGAAGAGGGTTGGATCCCATAGAACTGAACTTGCAATTGGCTGTAAGCCACCACTGGGAACCAACCTGGGTCTGCAAGAGCACTAAGTGCTCTTCACCACGAGCCATCTCTCCAGCTCTAATCATCTAATCTCAAATGTGTGTATACCTAAACACCGATTTAACAGGGTCCTTACAGTGAATACACATAGGCTTGCACACAAATTCCTTTTCAGCTGCTGTCTACCTCATTCACACCTAATGTATGCCTGTTTTGAGATGGGGCCTTCATTGATTCAATTTATACAGAAAAATAAACTTCCTATTCTCTGTGAGATGGGGGAAGTTACCAGATTTCATAGGATAGGGATCGTGGATATCAATAACTCTGAGCACAGACTTTAATGAGTTCCTATCTTCACTGCTAATAACCATCAGTAGTAGGTAACATTAGGAACTCTACTGTGAGAAAGATACTGATTCACACATTGATAAGGTTACTCATATTTTTACACAAGTTTCTAAAGGGTCTAGATAACAAAACCATAATTTTTGCATTCAAAAAACTACCCAAATGTAAATCTGTTGTGTACACACAAAATAAAGGTATGGGATAATATATCCTAGGAAGTTGGTATGAGAGGGTGCTTTTTTGTACAATCTCTACATTACTTGTTTATAGGGAATCTTCCTTAGTATTTTAAAACATTATTTCTTTAAAAGGTCTTCAAAACTTGTTCATTGGAATAAGACCTGTATGTAGTTCAGTGATACAGCAACTGCTTAGCATTCCCAAGGCCCAGCATGAGCACACTAGTGAACACACACAAAAAAAGCACTTGTTCACGAATCCAGAAACCCTGAAAAATGTTCAGCTCTATACCATACCAATGCAAGATTTAAATCCCAATTTTCAGTTGTCTTTATCTTTTAAATTTTGCATGACAATCATTCATTATGCCACTTTTTAATATTAATACAAAGGTACCCAGAAACAAACAGTAAAGCTACAGGAATTAGCTGAGTCAACTTCTATGCTGCAGATATTTGAAGCAAACTTTCCAAATGATAAGTTTTGATTTAGAATCTTTGTTGAATCTGAAGCAAACCCTAATTAAAACAGCTGTTCCTAAGCCAGGCCTGGTTATGCACACATGTAATCACAGCACTTGAAAGTAACAGAATTGAGTTCAAGGCCAGCCTAGGCTACACAGTGAGTCAAAAAAGAAAAAAAAATCTTTTTTTTTTTTTCCCCAAGACAGGATTTCTCTGTGGCTTTGGAGGCTGTCCTAGAACTAGCTCTTGTAGACTAGGCTGGTCTCAAACTCACAGAGAGCCACCCGCCTCGGCCTCCAGAGTGCTGGGATTAAAGGCGTCCGCCACCAAAAGTTTCTTTATAAACACTCTATCATTTCAATCCTCTTTAATTCAAGACTGTTTAACACTTATTATGATGCAGTCCAGTGAATGGGAATGTTTCTTTGTTCACTGTTCACTCTCCATATTCCAATTACTGTTCTAAGTACTTCTGTGATATGATTTAAGTCACTAACAGGGCTATTGGAATACCTCCATTTCAGAGATAAGAAAATTGAAGCAAACACAGGAATGCCATAACCTAGAGCAGTTAAGTTTCTGTATTTGGGCTTCAGCAGCTGGTAGTAGAAAAACAGAAGGGCAAATTCTCAATGAAAGGGGCTGGGTGACTTCCATGTTGAACACATATATTTGGCTTGCCAGGGGGGTGCTTTTAAGTATTTCCAGAACACAGTTAAATATATTAAATCTGAAGTTCACATCAGGGTAAAATTATAGATTTGAGAATACAAGTAGAGATAATAATTGAACCAGGACAAGACCAGTGGGTTATTTTATTAAGAAAAAGATGTGCATCCAACATCCTTCCCTTCAAATACTGATGGTCTCCAGGCTTCCCCTGTATCCAAATGTTAGTAAAAACTGGCCAAATATTCTTATCTTCTCCAGTGTCAACTCTTTAACCATGGTAAAATACCTCAGATATATTTAGAGTTTTTCACCTGCCCCTTCCTTAAGAAAACATCACCTTAAGAAACACACTATGGCACAAACCTTTAATCCAAGCCTTCGGGAGGCAGAGGCAGGTGGATCTGAGTTCCAGGCCAGACCGGACTAGATTGAGGTCCAAGACAGCCAGGGCTACCCAGAGAAAAACTGTCTTGAAATTAAAAAAAAAAAAAAAAAAAAAAAAAAAAAAAAAAGATTCTAAAGCCACATATTAAGGGAATCTTTCTTAAGCTGCACTGCAGTCATGAGCTTATAAAAACATTTTGGTAAAGGATACATGGCCAGATGTAAGGGGGATTGCCTTCGGAAGCCTGTAAGTATTAAGAAATTTGATTCTGGGCTTGAAGTCTAAATACTTGACTTTACTACACTTTACCACTAATGTTTCCTGACAAACAGAAAATTTAAGTGAGCTTTGCTTTATGAAGCAAGTACTTACAAACCTATCTGGCACAAATTAATTTGAACTATGCTCCTTATCAGTCTGTTTTTTTTTTTTTTCTAAAAAACACCCCTCAATTGTGAAACAGCAAATGCTTCAGAGAAAGTGAAAATTATGTATACAAAATTTTAAAATACCAGACCAGGATACAGGCTTTTATAATGGAAATACTAATGAAATAACATGAACAAGCATCAGTCTATTAAATAACTGTAGCAAGGGCTGGAGAGATAGCTCAGTGCTAAAGAGCACTGACTGCTCCTCCAAAGGACCTGGGTTCAATTCCCAGCACCCGCATGGCAGGTCACAACTGTCTGTAATTCCAGTTCCAGGGGACCCAACACCCATGGCAAAACACCAATGCACATAAAATAAATTCATTAAAAAAAAATAATAACTGTAGCAATTAAACTGGCAATAGTTAAGAATGTAACCTTAATCCAAAACAAGTACTTTACAGACAACCTTAGAGCTTAGTAAAACTAGGATAGTTTAGGGAGGCTCTGGACCCAGTGTCTTCAAACTTCTAGGTGGATCTGAACTTAATATAACACAAAGATGAATTTCTCCATCTCCCTACCCCTATGCATTCCTTTTTCTGAAAACACAAAAGAACAGAAAGTATCTTTAGCTACAAAACATGACCACACCATTCAGTCATTAAACTCCACGAATCCACCTCAACTCTCATTATTCATTGAAGAACAAGATAAACATTATATGAAAATTAGTAGCTTTTATTGTTCAAGAAACAACTTTATGCAATAATGTACATTTATATACACGGAAACTTGCTGGACTTGCTGAGTAGCTAATAAAATAGCTAGTGTATACGTCTATTTCAAAAACTAAAAAAAAAAAAAAAATTTAAAAATAAACTAACTTCACTGCCGTAGGCTAGCTTCTTACTGATCTTAGCACCAAAGAAAAGGAATAAAAGCGTCTGCAAAAGAGACAAATATAAAGTCCTACAGTGAAGTGATTAAAGCTCCACTGTTCATTTCACTAATCTTTCTTACAACTTAGCAACATATGTAATCCTACTTCCTAAAGAATGAAAACCTGGCACAACAGTTTTGAAAACAACAAAATCCAACACAATTCCTAGCATTCTAGGGAATAAGAACGACTTTAAGATCTTACTATGAAAATAAATCTTTCTCAAGCTGGCCAGTCTAAGGACCGAAATCAACATTCTCACTTCTCTAGAAGTGATTCTAGCTCTTCTTGCAAAGAGCTAAGCTGCTCTTTTTCCCTGTCTTCCTTTTGTTTGAGCTCATCCAGAACAGCCTGAAACCTGTTCTTGAGAGCCAGGTTTTCTACTTTCATGATGAGGTCCTCCTGGCGTTTTGCCCTGTCTTGGGTCTCTTGAAGCTTGCCTTTCATGTTATCGATCTGTTTCTGGATTCCCATAACCAGTTGGTTGGTTCCTTCATTTTCTTGGTGCTGTTCATCGGATTCGTTGAGCTTGTCTTGCAGCTGTCTCTCCAGATCTTCCTCGGTGTCGATGACGTTCACGTCTTCTTCATCTTCGCTGCTGCTGCTGAGGTCATTGAATATCTCTCGAAGTTCATCATGTTCTAGGGAGTCGTGGCCCTGCCTGTGGCCAGACATTCCTGGGGAGGATATATCGAGGCCTTGATTTTCTGTCTCCTTTGTTTCATCCTCAGCAATTATCTCCCAGCGAGTGCTGACAGCTTCTGCATCAGTACTCAGCAACCGCTTCACTTCTTTCTCCACATCGGGAGATTCAATATACTTCTTCTTTGCTGTCTTCCGGAACCTTCTCTTTCTGACATTTTTTAAAGGTAGAGTAATCCCATGGTTCCAAACAAACTTTTTCTCTTTGTCCTTATCTTTTTTCTTGCTTGCTTTGGGATCTGCAGGGGCAACTGGCTCCTCCACAGGAGGGTAGAGGTCACCATCTACCGTGGATACAAGCATCTGACAGATATCCGCTGTCTTGTAAAAGGTTTTTTTATCAATGGTTTTCAAGCTTTCCATAACACACGGCAGATCTACCAACTTTGCGGCCAAGGGAACTCGATCCACTCTGACAATTCCATGACGCCCATCGGGGTGTAACTCAATGGTCAGTCTGTCTTTCAGGTTAACGTGTCCAGACTGCACGGCTCTCCTCACAGTAGAGGCATATTCTGGGGGCAGTCGCAAGATAAACTGGCTCTCTAGTTCATGAGGTGCATCATCTTTGCTCTTACTCATCTTTAATTCCTTGTGAGTTACTCCTCCAATAAATACTTGGGGCACTAAAAAGTTTCAGCTCCTACAACAGTTAAAAAAGGGCGCTGTTGTTAGTATGATTGCAAATTCTTAACGAGGTCTAAGGAAAACAGCAACTAAGTGGAACACCAGCTAGTGTCTATTTTATCTTTATTTTTATTTTACTTATTTATTTATTTATTTTGGGTTTTTCGAGACAGGGTTTCTCTGTGGCTTTGGAGGCTGTCCTGCAACTAGCTCTTGTAGACCAGGCTGGTCTCGAATTCACAGAGATCCCCCTGCCTCTGCCTCCCGAGTGATGGGAT